GGGGTGTATGTGCCATCCTATCTGCTGGTCAACACAGCCCAGCTGTTTAGCTGTTTTAGTGCACGTGGGGATACTATTTCCACTTAGTTTGCACACTATCTTAAAGCACATGTGTGCACTATGCTGTCACTCCTCAGACTACAGTGAGTGTCTGTTGCTGATAATAGATGTCCCTTATGGGACCTCAGTCTCACACACACATGTGTATATACATACAGCGTATGAATGCATATACTTTCACAGAATGTACTTAAGTAAATATCATTATCTACCATTACCCCTCTGTTTGTTCAGTAGTCACAAAGGCTCATAAAACTGTCAGGATCAATCAGCACTGTGTCCTTCACACACCACACCCCTCTATCCAGCTCTCACACACACTTGAGTGTCCTTATAAAACACCAGCACACCTGCTATTACATATAAGATTTAGTCATTGTGAATATCATTTAGTGGGAATCATTCAAAACAGGAAACGTAATAAAGGATTTCCCCGATCACCTAAAGCAGCATAAGAAAAAATCAACACATCTTTAAACAGTCCAGAAATGTGTACACTCTCTGTTGTTTTATATTTTTTTCAAAGCTATTAATATTATAATATTGATCGACACTGCACACACTCTTTAGCATATGCATGCAGTGGATACCGATCACAAAATGAACATTTTCTTCATGTGAGCCATCTAGAGTTAGGATTAGTATCTGGTTAATGTTGAGTCCTTTATATAGAATTTTTTTTTTTAACCTGTCTGGAGTTAAAAAGCCTTTAAACACTCCTGTTTAAAGACTAGTGCTATGTTGTGTGAGACTTTAATTAACTCTAATGTGCTTGACACAAAACAGAACTCTTGCTGTATACAGGTCACTGGTAAACTAGTGAATGCTAAGACATTAAATGAAACCTGTGTCATGGTCTTTTTAGTCTGTTATTTAATCTATGTGGCATCCTGAATTTTTATACATTTGGGTTTGTATTGACTTTAGATTCTGTACCTTTTGTGTTCATCTTTGTCCAGAGCTTATTGTTTCTTTCCCAGCTGCCACAGGGCAAGAGGAAGGGTATGACCAGGACAGGTCACCAGTTTGTTGCAGGACCAACACAGAAAGACAAACAACCATTTGCACTCACATTCACACTTATTGTCTGTTAAGAATCATCAGTTGACTGCATTGTTTTTTGACTGTGGGTCCCCAGAAAGAAGCTATGCAGGTTTAGGGAGAATATGCACAAAGAGGTCCAGGTCAGATGGTGCATTGAAACCCACCATCTTGTGAGGCAACAGTGCTAACCAATGCACCGCCGTCCTGCCACATTTTCCACATTTGTCTGTATTTAGATGCCATTTTCTCCCTCAGTCTTTGACAGTTTGTCGTATCTTCCTCATGTTTCTGTTCTCCTTTGTTTTATTCTCCCATTTACTACTGTTAGCTTGGATTTCATGCATAGATTTTATCACTGTTTTGGACTCTCCCATTACTCCACACAGTGCCGTTATCAGCAAGTTATTTATTAAATTTTCCATTCCCTAACCAGTCCAGATTTTATCTGCAGCACATCAACTAGTGATGTTGTTAATTATTTGTCTTTATTATTTACTGTAGCTGTAGCGAGCATTGTGGCCATGCTGTATTATGATAAAAATAAGACTTATGGTCAAAAACAAATTTATGATTTTTTCAGGTCCTATCCAAACCTGGCATGCCGTTACTGACCTAAACAGTAGAAGTGATTCAAAACCTCACAAGAAGTGGGAAATATTGCTGAATCAGAACCAAAATTATCTTTAAAAGACAGAGTTATGTTAGGTTGAAATACATTTGCACAAAACATCGCAATTCAGAGATGATCTCTGATCTTTAACTTTTGTCAGTGGAAGGATCCAGGAGTTTCTCTGTGAATTTCACATTCCTGTGGCAGCGTACTCGGTGCTTTAGGGGTTTTTCGCTGTAAAAAGAAGTTTTCTTCCCACGCAGTGAACAGCGGACGCTAATGTTTTTGTCACTTTTTACGGAATCAAACTCAAAGTAAGGTCAGTACTTCCACACTTTAAACGCTGCACGCTCATACTCTCTCCCGCACTTGATATATTATCCATTTTTGATCTGCACACAGCTGTTGCCATGAACGTCGGACTCACTTACGTCATTGACATGAGACACTCTTGCAAACGAAATCACGGTTTAGTAACGCAGTAACGCAGCATGCTTATGGGAAAGTAACAGTAATCCAATTACTTTTTTTGCAATAGTAATCCCTTATTTTACTCGTTACTCTGAAGTAATCGGATCTCCGGTTGGGACTGGGAGCAGGTTTCTAACATCTTGCAGTCACTGCTGCTGGGGGAGTAACAACTTCTCCCGCTACTTTTTAGGTGCCCTTGACCAAGGCAGTGAACCTCAGCTGGTGCAGAGAAGAGCATTTAAAGATGTCACTTGTACTGGGCAGCCCTCAGGTGCAAAAGCCTCAGATTTCCCTACAACAACAAAGGCTGCAAAGGGATGCAAGGAAAACAAACTAAAAAGCAAAGTTTGTGCAACTAAGTTTGCTAAGTTACTTTCATGTCCTGACTTTTAGAAGATTCACTTCTAAAATGTTCCAATTAC